GTCCGATACGTTTGATAATTTCAAAAACGCTGTAAATGCATAGCAACATTGTGTTCGCCTGCTTAAGTAATTTTCTGAATTTTCTGAATTTTCTGGTTCGTGAATATCCCTTGTCAGACTTAATTGCGACGTAATTATGGGCTTCCGAATCTACTTTGAAATCTCTTAAGATTTCGTCCAGTGCTTCTCAACTATTTTTATATCGCGACATCATTACGATTAACAGTGTTTAAATATAAGTGTTTTTTAAAACGGCAGTTTTTTCGCAAAGAAAATGTTTTCCATGATTCATTATAAATTTTTTCTCGACGCGTCGACGCTGTTGTTGCGACACACCTGTTGTGAAACACTGGCCTAGTCTACTATGGGTCGAATCGAACGAAAAAAATCGCCGGGGAACCACCAACGGGGCGGCGTTTTGCGCGGGTCGCGAAGCGTGGAATTAACCGGTGCATCCCTTTTTTCTAAAACCAACACGTAATTATCTCACCGTCGGTTATTTGGTAATTTTCATCCCGGCGGCTCTTTTTCCACCGACAGGTACGGGCCACGCCGATAACCGATATTTACATGGCAGGTGATATCAATTATCGTTCGAGAGGCGCCGCTGCCCCGGGGGCCGAAATTGCAGCCGGGCTACGGCTTTGGCCCCCGCTGGCTTCCCTAACAATTTACTCGATTCGCGCCTTCGCCGACTTTTTTTGCGAGCTTCTCTAGCCCCCTCGACCTGCTCGGTGAATCATGGTCGCTCGGTCGATTGAATGAACGCTGACGAAAAAGGAGCCCCGGCCCCTCGATATTCATTTTTGGGACCGATTAATTCCTACGGCGCTACGGAATGTTGCCCGAGGCTCCGGTAGGGCTATGAGAAATAAATCCCTTCGATATTCGTCTAAAAAAATATCCCTCCTTCGAAATACACGACTCTTCGCTAATTTTTCTTACGTATCTTATATTTAAAAAAGTGTGTCTTACAACTATACAAGCAACATCAATAACAAAGGTCGACTGATAACTAAAATCTCCAAACCTATAAAATATGTTTGAGATTATAGAAATTAATGAAAATTTTGGAATAATCAAAAGTCTCAAGATGATCAATTGAAATTGTACAAAAGGTGTAACGTCAAACTCATGATGAATGATACTGTTATACAAAATACTATACCAAAATTTAAAAATTCATACATTCAGAGTATTCGAGGGTATCAAATACGGATTAGCAATTTATTTACATCCCCATTATTCGCACAATTATTGGAGATCTTAGTCACTTAATCAACCCTCGTATATTATCATTTTACGAACTACGCTCAGACCACTATCTTTCTCCCATCGATTTTCAATTTGACAAGCATCTTTCGCACGTACAATTTTGCTGTTAAACTTTGTATCATCTCGAGATTTTTTAACGATAAATTCTTCTAAAATTTGCCGGGCTGTCACCCGCGAAAGCGGGCCTGATCGCAACACCTACGCGTTTCCAGGGAACAAGAACGATACGTCTCTTCTTATTTTTTTCGAACGGATTGGGCGTGACGCACCCACCGTTGCAGTCGAGGCAAACTGTGACTCGATAAGCACCGTGATGGTCGCCCAGGGCAAAAGCAAATAATAACTCGGCCAAGAGGGGGCCCGTTGGTTAGCAGCGTCGGGTCCCAAGCGTCGAGGCAATCTCGCCTTATTTCGTGGCGACTATCGCAATTTTCAGAACGGTTGTCTCATCACGAAACCAGGCTCCGGCATGGACGCGGCGAATTACAGGGCGCCCGACACCCCGTCGTATTACGGTGTTGGTTTTCGAGCCTTTTGTGTTAAAAAGACACGTGTAATCATCTTACCCCCGTCGATGGATTTCCGGACGGGCGAAGCCGCAGGTTGCGCCAAACTAGCGTTTACCGAATCCTGGCTGCTCCTATTCTCCACCCATTTTTTGTTACACCCTCTCTTCTTCCCTGTCCTGACTCCTCTTGTCCTCTTTTTCATTGATTCGCTGCACGGTTGTGCCGAGGGCTGCAACCGGCGACGCGAGCCTCGGTGAAACGATTTTTTGCTACCTGAAAACTGTTCGACTTTGCATGCGAATCGCGTAGATCGTGCATTTCGATAACAGGTGCCAAGGTGGGCCCGAAATTGTAGGTCCGACCGTCTGGAGTATCGATCGCGTGATCTACATGCGTTGCTTCGTTTCCTTCATTTAGCTACACACGAGACAAAGTTTCAGCTTCCTCCTGCAATGAGTTTGTTTAGCAGCGTATGGCTCGCCCAACCGTTCATTCTCGATTCGAAAGTCTTACGGATGAATTCTTACTAACCATGTATGGGATCTTTCTACACAATTCAAATATAAGCTGTAGATTTTAGGGGTAATAGCTTTAAAGATAATTAATAATAGAAAACAGTTTCGAACGAATAAATCAAGACAAAAACATTTGAGACAACCAAACTGGTCGGTGCACTTAACGTATCGGTCGTCGATTTTTCGAGGGTTGTAAATCGGTGGACAAAAATGTCCTAGCGGGTGCTAAAAGGGTTAAAAAGAATGGGGGAAATTTTTGCCGCGACGCACGGTCGCAGGTGTCTGAAATCGGTGTCGACGAACTCGTCGCTCGTGTTTCCGATGCTTTAAGCGCGGTTTACTTTATGATTTATAGGATTCATCTTTCGATGCCGGCGCGGGGGATAAATGGAAGAGGGTGTGAAATGTCCAGGACCGTCGAAATTCCGCGTTCGTGTGCGCGCGCATCGGCGTTTCGTCCTTCCTAAATTTGCCACGCTTTTTCCCTCCTCAAGTATGTTTTTGAAAGATGCGATTTGTTTTTGCTGCGCAAATTGGTTGTCCCCCGAAACGTCTTCTGCGATAGGTTGACGTATGCGAGGCTTCGACGGTTGTGTGTCGCGGGGACGAAAAAGAGGCTCGTTCGTCCAAAGAGCCGTGAGCGCAGCGAGGTAGAAAAGGGTGGCACGAAGTGGCAAAAAGGCACAGAGCTCCGCCGCAAATTCGTTTCTGGACAAACTGGCAGCTGGGTCCCGCGGTGATCACGGGTCCGTATTAATGGCGGCGTGGGGAACGTGTCATTACAGTCTGCGTCCCAGGGAAAAAGTATTTGTTCATTAATATTAATAAGAGCATTTGAATCGCTAAGCTGATGATACGATACGGTCGGAGATGTTGCTGCGTCTCGACAGATCCTTTAAAACGATCTTTTATTTTACGGAATTCTCATGGAGATTAGGTCGAAAATGCAAGACATCTCGAGAAGCTGCGATTCTGTAAGGGGAGCAGACTATCGTGTCCACGAGCATCCTTCAACAACACCACTATATTAAAGTAACGTCGACGTTCGTTTTGAATGTTGATACATGCACGTGAGATACACGTAGGCCGTTACACAAAATTTAAAACCGTTTTAATATTTCGTAGGACGTCCTTCTTCACGGTACAGCTTCTCCTAATTGATTAGAAATTACTCGTACTTAATTACTCACAAGGGACCCGAAAACCAGTTAACCCTTTCGCTTTACCGAATCGTGGCCGACAAATTCGCCATTAACATCCCGGCCTCTAATTATAAAAATCGCGTAGGCGTTACTTTGGCGCCGCAAGCCTTCATCAATCACCCGTCAATCTACGTTCGGAAACCGGTGTTTCTTCTAGATTGTCTGATCTTTGTCTAGAAAGGCAGACTGTGGTTACCAAGGAGTAGGTAATCTCTTAACTTGCAATTATCCCTTACTATTTGAAAGGTTTATCTTCTGCTCGGATCGTGTTGAACCGCCACTTGTGGACCTATAAGTATATTGAAACTAAAATTACACGAATCGACTGGGTTCTAAATACACCCCTCTTGTTTGAAAAATCGGGAAAGCGTATTTAAAATAACGCGGTAGCGTTACGAACTCTATCGATCAATGGAACGGTTTTCGTTACAAAATCGAGGCTGAAACTTTTGAGATAGGCAGCGTTTGCAGACGCTTTTATGGTTGGTAAAATAAAAGCATGAGTCCCCAAGCTGTTGCGGTTTAGCGCAATTTGCCGCAAACTGTCGGTATTTTGCGTTGCACCCGCGGTCTGGCATGATGAATCGAGCAGAAATGCTGCCAGTGTCCAGTCGATTAAAATCTTAGGACGCAGCCGTGCACGAAATCACGGCGATAAATCATTAAAAAGAGAAAATCGATCTTCACGCCCATTTCTGCGAGGAATCTGAATACGGATCGCCACGGTGCCTCGCGGCCACGCTTTGGGCCCAAATTCGTCCGCGATCAAACAACAAGCCGGAGCTTAACAATTTTCGCCTCCCGACGCTCCCATTCCTGCATCGCGTTTTAGCTTCGGGAATGCAACGTGTACAAACGGGAAAGGGGGTGAGGGAAAAAACGACGAAAACGATCATCATCCAGAGCACCGCCCGCGGTCGATTCACCCACGTCGAGAGCGCGATCGACTTTCGAAAGTCCGCGTATGATTGAGCACGATGTAACTTCATCGACGAAATACAAAAAATCGTATAATGGGTCGGGTGAACATTTCGTAAAGTCGTTCCCCCGAACATCGAATCGATATAACGTAATTGTACGTTTGTTTAAAACGAAAGAAGACATAAAATTGATGCATAAATACTACAAAGTTCTATACGATACAAGAATATTTTTTAATACTTATTAGAAAGATAACAAATATGAAAAAGAGGCTATATTTTCAGCTTAAATATATAGGCGAAATTGTCTCTTGTTTGTTTGGATATTAAAATTTAGATTTACAGTATAATTTTCATTTAAAAAGTATAACCATACTCCTCAATCTTGGGACTTTTTAACATAACTTAGAGGATAAAAGTAGTACAAACTCTGTCTTAGTATATCGTAAAAATCGAATTTTGTTATCAATCCTTGAAAATTAATTTAAAAGAGTAAAATAAGTATTAAAATTCATTAAATAACAATAGTTCCTTTTTCTGGAATTTTCTCAAATATAACTCGGAAATGATTTTGCCAAGGTAGAGTCGAATCGTTTTACTTGTCGTACCCTTGAATCGTTAAGTTTTCTTTTTGCCTGCTCCAATGTTTGATGTGCTTTGCACGCGAGTGGCTTTTCGAGTTTTCGAGACAGTGTTGTTGTCTAGAGGTGATTTCTTTTCACTTGTGGACGCTGTTGTGCTCGAGGGTTCCGTGGACGATACTTTCGATGATCTTACTGTCAACGAATTACCGGTGGTGCTCTTGCGTTTCGAAATCCCATTTCTATTTGTTGCCGATGTCATTTTTAATTTTGAAGACGTGGGTGTGCCAGGAATCCCTGTCGTGGATCTTCGGAACTTTGGTGGAGGTATTTGTCTCATTAGTGCCGTTGAACGGCTCAAATTAGGACCAACACCGACGGAGGACAGACGTCGAATAGGCTTCATTGTCTGCGGATACTCTTCCTGTGGAATTGACATTTTCTAGTTTTAAAGATACACGAAATAATTTACGTAAATAAATAAAAAATCATTTTTATTCGATGTTTCAGACTCGGAGCAAATCGCAAATAAAATTGACAATTCGATATTTCTTTATTCAGGACCACTGATAGATTGCAATGGCATATTATTCATTATTAAAAAATAAACCATCTGTATTTTTTTCGTCATTTCAAAATAGACTTTTAACAAAAGTTGATCGACGCTGAGCGTTATAAATATTCAACAAGATTACGTACGTTTATTAGATTCAGAATGCTTCCTATTAATTGAAATCTATACAGTAGTTTAAATTTGAAACTTGAGAGTAAGTATCACTGTAATTTAATATTGAAATTGAGTCAGATCTATAGAAATTTGGTTATAATTGAACCAGTAACAGAAACGTATCGAAAGTTTAGAAATGGATTTCTTAACCTTATTTGAGTTATCAATTTGCATCACAACGTTCGCCGCGTGTTTACACAGTTCCAGCATATCGTGTATGACGTTCTTTAGATCATGAATTATTGGCTTATTTTTTGGTGTAGTATTGCTTGGTCTTTCGTTCGCGATGCCATTCGCTTCGTCTCTTTCGGGTTGCTCATTCAACGTGTCCGTTCCGTTTATGGAGCTAATGTAAATAGATGGACTGGATCGTGAGATTAACTGGATATAACAGAAAAATATTTATATTATAACAGTGTGATCAAATTATCAAATTAGTCTTTCGAATAACAAAAAGTAGCTAGGAAAAAACCAAATAACATCATGGTAGTAACCATAACGTCACTTAAACGTAATCAGACCTTCTTTCTTTCGAGTATGAATTTACTTGCCTTGCTTCTAGCGATTCTCATTTGCGATATCGATAACTCGGGAGTAGGAGTCGAAATATTGGAGTCGAACGAAAACGACAAAGTGTCCAGCAAACTGAATCTAAAATCGTTGCGATAAAGCAAAAGTTAAAATCACAATTTACACCACGTTAAGAATTCCGAGAACAAATTCACGACCTTGTTAGACTTGCATTACTGTCCTCGTGGTTTATTTTTGAAACCATAGGTGCAGTTGGAGTACAAACAGCGATTTCGGATGAAGGTGTTTTTAACGAAGAATAATTAATTATTCGCAGATCTTGTCCCATCATCATTTGAATCACATCTTGTATATCGTTTAATATTTGCGCATTCGTCAACGGTTCATCCTACAAGAATATTCCAACTTTATCAATTTTTAATCGCAGTTGATCGCCCGATTAACAGTTACAATTTCTTCAAACTTTATAATCACTAACGGCAAAAGAATGTTTTCTCGAAACTACACAGCTATTTAGAATATCACTTATTTCAGTATTTTTACGATTTTGCATTCAACGTATACTTTACTTTCAAAGATATAGGCCTCTGCCAGCGATTAACCAGGTCCGTAAATTCTTTCGAAAAAGTCAGAACGCTCATTCTGATCCAAATATCTTGCTCTTTCACGACAATTCTTAACCGAACTGACTCGAAATATGTGATCGATTGGTGACATCGAAACGTCCTTATTACGTATGATGTTTACACCAGTCGCGTAGATGCGACGCTAGGATCCTCGGAACAACAACACTTCTTGTCGCGAGAATACCTTTGAACGTTAAATTTTACGAAGCAAACAAGAGTGGAAACGAAGAAACGGAAGAAAATTTGAAACCCTGTATGTTCAACTGTATTTGTACGAGCCTACGCTGTTTATTCGTGTTTCCAACCCATTTTCGCTACTGGCTCCTGCTCTGGCTAATTCCTGCCTGTTTGTCGAGTGGATAGAATTACTCCAAGTTAACACAGATTGCTATTTACCTTCTTAAACGAGCAGTTAAAATTGATTTCGTGGGAACGATACAAGTATCCGTACATCAAACTCTATGAAAGAGTTCTTCGAACAGAAATATATCAAAAATGTATTATTCAGCGAGCAATATCACCAGATTTGAATGTCACAGAAATTTGTTACTGTTGTAACGGTAGTATATTGCTTAAACAACTTGAAAAAATTATTTCTGTGCTCTCTTTCTGAAAGATAAATGGTTCGTGTTTTCTTCGCACTGATCGAATATTCTTTTCATCGTTTCTAAGGATTTTAATTAAATTTCGCCTTCAAAATGGCTCGTGAGGTAACAGGATCGGACGTTCAGGACCGTTTACTATCTTTAAAGTCATTAAGCGGCGAAGTCGAACGTCGAAGACAATATATCCTCATCTGCATGCGCAAGAAACGGGTTCAAGGTTTGACTGACGAGCGCCGCCCGCTCCTAATCGTTCGATCGGTAAAAAATTTACAAAAAGAACGTGGTGGGGGTGGGGGGTAGAGATAGAAAGAGAGAGAGAGAGGGGGGAAAAAAGTCTTGAGAAACAAACTAAGACGAGACTGTTCGGCACCGGGCACCGCCCTTGCACTCCACCCATCCATCTACAGCTTGCATATATTTTTGGGCAGCTAGTTTTTTCCCTCAGGGAGATTTATCACGTCCCTACGCCTCTTTCGCGGGCTGTTCCATCAGCGCGCCGACGTGTGGCAGGGAATAATTGGCAGGCTCGAGGAGCGGTCGTGTTTAGGTCGGGAACTCTCGTTCGTAGATTGTTCGAGGAACGGTAAAACCATCGCGAATTGGTAAAGTGGACGGCGAAATGTGCTGCTTCAGCCAGTCGATGTCCGGTAAACAACGCGTTGCCAAATTTCATTCCGCTCCTATTGCTGTTCCCTGCCACACTAAGCAATCAGACGCGCCTAAATGTTCTCAGCAACCTTCCGTATCGAAAAAATGGTCATCTGAATCTTTCAACTTACTACTACGGTCATCTTCTTCTTCGTCTGGGACGTGTCAGTACCTTTCATTATAACCAATTGATATGTTATTCGCTACAAAAAAATTATTAGATATTTTAGGTTTTTCTAATGTTCCATCCATTGGTAGAATAAAATGTTTACTCGTAATCAGCGCGCTCTAAAAACCTCTGAGCAACTACGAGTTTGATCGACGAGCTGGCAGTCGGGAACGCCGTTCTCCAGTCTTTTCGTGCGATTCCCTCTCGGATTCCCGGGGAACCGCGACAAAAGACGCAATCAATACCCGCCATTGTACACGAGGAATCATTCCTCTCGTTAGAGTCAAGCGGTGCAGTTAATTAAGTCACTCGGGACACGAGCGGGACCAACTTGCAACGCGAGTCTCGTTTCTGACGCCAACCGCTGCTGAACGTCAGAGAGATAATCGACCCACTTCTCGTGGCATTTCTGCAATTTTCTCGGCGTCGCAATTGCCAGCGGTACGCGCCTCGTGAGAGAACGGCTGCGATTATTCCATGTTTGGTGTAAACGCCGATCGAGCCCAGAACTTTGGAACGTTTTGCCTCGAAACGGTCGCATGCTCGAATCGCTCGGTCCACCGAACAAATTTCCTCGACAGCGCCGAAATAAATTTCGTTCCCGTTTACGCGACGACCGCGAAACTTTCCACGGAAATATTTCTATCGATCTTCGTTCCATATAGAACTTTAGTTAAAGTTATTTTCCTAAAATGTGAACTTTTCGTCCAACACGATATAAAAATCTACGATCAAGGTTTCACAGATTTTCAACGAGGACAAAAAACGTGACTCCTGGCGTTATTTACTTTTCGTAAAGCCACCGTAAAAACTACGCTCGAATTTATACTTTGGCTAACGTAACCTCCCCGTTCCGTTTTACTGCTCGCGATCGTTGTAATGACCAAAACTCGTTGCCGCCTCCGAAAAACCCGCGGCGGAACGGCGATGTACGGCGAACGCCTGCCATATTTAAACCAGTTATTATTTGGCGCTGCACCTGTATTTACAAAGACTTGGCTATTTCAGGGTCCGTCGCTGGTAGTCGTATAGCCCCGGGGGCGTCGTGGTCCTAGTAAAACATTCCTAGAGGCACCTTTAACTCGTTCCACATAGACGTTGTTCCCTTTACGCGGCACTAATTTCAAGCTTGTCGTTACAAATGAAAGGGTTCGCCGAGTCTGCAACCTTCCGTGGCACAAATATTTGTTATTTCAGTCGCCGGATGTCCTTAAACTCCCGCGGGGATGCTGTCCGTTCCGGAGGAGCCGCTTAATGCAATGGCGTCGACTCTCGCGGAACGCGGCGCCCGTTTGAAGTCCCGTGTTTGAACAGCGGTCATTGTCTTGCCTCCGCGTCCCTTCTCGCTTCCTACGTTTCTCCCGTCGTATTCTTTTTTCTCGTTCGCTCCCGTTCGACGCCGACTACCGCCGGCAAGAAGGCAGGTCGTTTCAGATAAGGACCGACTTAAAAGCTTCCCTCAGGCCCTCGCGAAAAGCATTTTTTACGACACCTCCGATTGAGGTGTCTTTGCGCAGCCCGCGTCGGCACGAAACGAACGAAAATTGCTTGCCAGACGATTTCCGGGAAGTCTCGAACACTCCGAAAAAGCTGTTCCGTTGCCTCCTTTTGTTCACTCTACGAAATCACGTGTTCGCTACTTTTTTTTTTACTTGTCCCTCTTCGCTCAAAACGTTTTACAGGATATTCCAATTCTACCATTTTTGAAACGTCGATTTTCAGAATTTACGCTATTCTGTGTAACTAGTACTTTGTCACGAGATAGCGAAAGTGAATCTTCCTTGTGTATCGAAGCGCGAAATTCTGGGTTTCGTTCAGCGAGTAACGAATAAAGAAGTATTCATCTATTATTTGTTATTCGAAGTCTGTATACAGATAAGAGTTTCCCACACCTTTGAATGGAATTTAGGTAATACACCCCCGTTAACAAAGCGGTCCGCTATTGTGTGTCGAACACAAGTACAGATACACACCTGCAGAGGACGAGTTCGAACCTGTCTCGGTCACACGCAATTTTTGCCCAAGTATCGATGCGGTTACCATTTAGAAATCTTAGATATTTCTCGTGTTATAACGTTCTAAAAATGTTGTAGTTTATCCGCGTGCGGAGCAGAACGCTCTCTGAATTCACACGTTCGAAGATTGTTGGGATTAACATCGAAAACGATAATAAAATAGGATTAGCCGCGAAGCACACCTCCATTAAATCGCGATGACTCAAATGGCCCGCAGAAGCACGTTCTATTTAGTCACCCAATATTTGACTTTCGCCAGATTGGACAGCGGGCTACCCTCGCGTTTTCACTGCCGCCGTTTGTTTGCAGTTTGCCTTCGGTTTCGGCTTCGCGGCAGGTTGATTTAGGATTTAAGGATTTCTACGTTTGTTGTTCGAAGATCACGTGAATAAATACACTCGAGATGATTCCTCCATTTAGGTAGCACCGGGTGGTCCTCGTTCTGAATTCGCGTCACGAAATTATGCTCCAATTGCTTCCGTGCTGGTACGCGTAAATTGAAAGAATATTTACGGAATATTCGATCAAACGCGCTCGTTTGTTGACGTGCACGTAACAAATTTCCATCGAATGTTTATTGTATGTTTTGACAAAGAAAGCTGTCGAAGCCCCTGGCATTCGAGCGTTCCGTTCGTATTCCAAAGGATTACTCGGCAGGACAAACAGATTTTATTGCATCGGTTCGTCGAAGAAAGGAATCAGAAACGCGTTTCGAGATCAAGAAATTACTTACGGTCAACAAATCGCGGACACGATCTCCGTTGGACGATCAGGAAATCGCCGTGGATCCTTTCTCCCGGACCTCGTTGATTCTTCGAGTGATCGTCGAGTCGAAAGAAAGAAACGCGTTTGCATCGGGCAGTAACAGACACAGCCGGGCGAATCGACGCGGTTTCGTTCGAGGGACATTCGTCATTATTACCATTGACCGTTGGTCCTCGGGATCTACCCATTCGGGTTCCACAGGAAGTGGGCCGGTCGGATCAAGGGCCCGGGCTGCCCTTTTCCATTTTAAGACGTTCCATTCAGGTGTAATAGTCAGTTAAAGACTATCCAAACATAAGATCCCACCGGCTGCCTCGATGAGCTTCCGTGCCCCTAAACTTTTTCTCATGCCAAACTTTTGTCGAGAAAGCAGGGCTGACCCCTCGCGTAGCACGTTCCTCGTAGACGTTTCTGTTGTCTCAATTTGCTTGAAGGGAATACTGTTTTCGACCCGTCGTTCTGCGAACAACATATTATTGTGTTTTTCTTTCCCCTTCGAACAACCCTCGATCCTATTTGTTTACTTCTTTCGCATATTTTACGAAGAAAACACTACGAATCTGCGAACGTGCGCTCTGCTCGAAGTCTTGGCAAAGACCAGTCACGTTCGTAGCAAAATTAATTGTATTCTGTACGTATCGTTTAATGTTTGATTTGACCAAGTTGCGGAATTACCGAAAGTGGCTATTATTTTCTGTTTTTGCTACGAAGGTGGGTGGGGTAACTTTGTAACGACAATATACTCGCGCGATGCGTCATCGGTGAAACCAGTATAAATCGTAAATTGCGACTAAATTGCAACGAGCCACGAGGCGGAATGTGCGTAATAGCACCTCGTTGCG